GAGGTGAAACTGAGAGGACAAGGGAATTGAAGTGATGGGAGGGTGGAAATGGGGGCTGTGAACACGAGGGGGCTTTGAACAAGTTCATGGGAAAGTTCCCTTCTCGTTTTATTTCATGTTTCTTCCAACTTGTGGTTTTTGTGCTCCAGGAGGAAGGGAGATGAATGGGAGCTCTCCAAGGTTGAAGGTCCCCAGGTGAATGCGGATGAGCCCTGCTGGTACAGGAGGTTAAGTGTTGGCCTGTCACCAGCTGCTCCATGGGACCAAAATGAGGCGGTCTGCTTCTGTGAAGACGGACAGCTTCAGAAATCCTCTGGAGCAGTTCTACTCTGGCCTACAGGGTCACTATGAATCAGCATTGACTCAATGGCTGTGGGTTTTTCTTTGTTTTGTTTTTAAGTACAGACCAGAGTTCCTGGGTGGTGGAAATAGCTAACAAGCTCAGCTGCTAACTGAAAGATTGGTGAGGCAAGCCTAGGCAGGGGTGCATCTGAAAAAAGGTCTGGCATCTACTTCTGAAAAATCAGCCACTGCAAACCCCGTGGTGCACAAACCGACTCTGACATACTAGCACTCTGGCTGGGTCCCAAGGAGCAGAGGGGCCTCACCAGGTCAGTCCCTGCTGGCTGGAACTGCTGAGGTGGGGTGGGCGAAAATATGCCAGGCTCCTGAAGGAAGAGCTGCAGGTCCTGCTCCCAGCTTACCTGGAGGTTGAAGAAAAATCAGCTCACTCTCCGCTCCTGTCCCAGCCCCTCTTGGAAAGGGAGGAGGAGAAGGGGAGAGATGCAGGAGGGCAGTGTGTGCTGGGAGAAAAGGGTACAGAAGCCCTCTGGGCCACGCTGATGGGCCCCAGTCCTCACCTGGGAGGTGGTCTGCCCACCTTGGCGGGCCTGTTCCAGGACTAGCTCTGCAGCTTCCAGCTCAGTGTGGCTCAGTAAGGTCAGGGGGTCCCTCAAGTGTTCCAACAGCTCTCTGACCAGGGCCTGGAGAGAACCCCAAGATACTGACACCACCCTGCTCCCATGCCTCTGTGGCAAAGCAGGTTTTCTGTCCAGCTTTGTGGGTAATGGGCACAGGGATGGGAAGGAGGAAGGCATTACTGTGGCCTCTATTAATAGGCACTCACATGTATACCGCACCTACCAGCTTTAAAAACCCTTTTCCCACCCATTACTCGTAATGAGGCCTCCCTGTCCTCCCCTTGAAGGGTATTTGGACTGGCCTTGAGCACGGTGGGCAGTTCTTCCTGGTAGTAGTGGTCAAGGTGAGCGTTGGTGGCCACCAAGTTGAGCAGGTAATCATTGCGGGCTGCTCTTAGCTGATGGGAGTAATGGGCAGACTGGGCAGCCAGCTGGAACAGAAATAAAGTGGATGTCAACAGGAAGTCCCAGACCCCAGGGTATGGGTGGTGGTGGTGGTGTCCTTCCGAGGGTAGCTCAGAACCCAGGTCCTGAATGGATCTCTAAATTATTAAGTGCTTACTATGTGCATGGCATATACCATGTACTCAGAACTCCTGCTTTAAATCCTCTCGTGGCTTCTGCATACGTTTAAAAGAAAATCCAACTGCTCTTGACCATGGTCTACCAGGCCCAACATGAGCTGGTGTCTACAGGCCTTCTGGCCTCTTTTCCCATGTTCACAGTGTTCCGGCCCTGTGAGCCGACAAGTTATTATCACCTCAAGACTTTGTGCTCACCATCGCCTCTTCCCAGAATGTTCTTCGCCTAGACAGTCACATGGCTGGCTCCTCCTTGATACCCAGGCCACCATAGTCGAGACACTTTTCCTCTAAATTACATCTACCCGATTACCCTTTATTATGGCATCTTGTCTTTCCATCTTAATCTGTTTGTGTATTGACTATCTGGTTCCTGAGGGCAGAAGCTCCATTGGTAGTGTCCTCCGCTGTAGCATCAGTGCTTAGAACAGTCTCTAGTACACAGCGGGGAGCCCTGTTGGCACAGTGGTTACAAGTTGGGCTGCTAACCGTGAGGTCAGCAGTTTGAAATAATCAGCCGCTCCTCGGGAGAAAGGTGGGGCTTTCTACTCCCGTAAAGAGTGACAGTCTCAGAAATTCACAGGGGCAGTTCCACCCTGGCCTAGAGGGTCACTATGAGTCTGCATCCACTTGACGGCAGTGAATTTTGGTTTGGGTTCTAGGACACAAGAAGGCCTCAGTAAATGTCTATTAAAGGAACAACCAAGAAAGGTATATTTCCACTCTACAGATGGATAAGATAAGGCCCAGAGTGATTACGGAATTTAATCAGAGTCATCCACCTAGGAGATTCAGGCCTAGTCTTTCAGACTTATGTTTCTGGTCCCCACTCAAGCTCTCATCACCCGAACCTTGCTGCTGAGTTTCTGGAGACTAGTCCGGGTGTGGAAGATCCCGTGGTCATTGCGGTTCAGCCTGAGCAAAAGAGAGGAGAAGGCAGGGTTGGCACCCACTGTGGCGCCTTGGCTCCACCCCCCACCCACTGCCCAGCCTTCTGGAATCTCCACCTGGCCTGGACATCGGCTGCCTTCTCCTGGGCCAAAGCCCACACACGTTCCCGCTGCCCATAAAGCTTCCGACTTCGGCTCAGCTCCCGGACAGACTGCAGCACCTCAGCCTGTGCTCTCTGGAGGTTCTCTGCTCCCTGTGGGCATGGACACACCAAGTCCTGACCCAGATCCCTTCCAGCCCTGAGCCAGCATTCCCTTCACACCAGTCACTGAGCCTTACCTTCCTGAGCACCTGCTCCTTGGCACTCCTCCCTGTGCCCCCTGCCAGGTCACGGTATCGGTCAGATGCCTGCAGCCGGGCTTGGCCCCCAGCCACGGTGGCATCCAGCAGACAGCGCCAGGCACCAAACACTGTCCTGCCCCTCCCCAGAGAAGGTTGGTGTTGACAAGGGGGGCCCTCCAAAGCTTCATGAGACCACGCTCCCAACACACACACACACACACACACACACCAGGCGACAGCATGCTTTCCCATCCCCCTTCGTCTGGGAGCCCATCAATCGATCAGCCCATTAGCTCAGCCACAAGGCTCACTCAGGACCCCCCCACCCCCACCCACAGTGTCCTTGGTAGGTCAGCTCCTCCCGCTGCTGTGTCAGCTCTACCTGCTGCTCACGTGCCCGCTCTGCTCCTTTGTCCCCACAGGTTCCAGGAGCTACAATTCCCATCTTTGCTCAGCCCCTTCAGCACCCCCACACCCCTGCCATGACAATGATACCCACCTGCTGTCCAGCTCCCCACTCCGCTGCCCATCCCTCTTCAGGAATGGCCCGGCCAGCTTTTGGAGTGCCTGGTGGGAAAGCAATCACAGACCCAGTCCCCTTGCAAAGACCCTCCTCAACCGAGAGAAAAGGGTATCAGAATATAATTCCACTCACTGAAAATACCCTGCGCCACACACTTCGCTGAGTGCTTTATATGCACGGACTTACTCAAATCCTCACATCCATCCTACATGACGGTTGTCATCAGGTGTGTCCAGTTGGTTCTGACCCATAGTGACCCTCTATATCAGCGGTTCTCAACCTGTGAGTTGTGACCCCTTGGGGGCGGTTGTCAAACGACCCTTTCACAGGGGTCACCCAATTCCTATGAAGTAGCAACGAAAATAATTTTGTGGTTGGAGGGTCACCACCACATGAGGAACTGTATTAAAGGGTCGCAGCATTAGGACAGTTGAGAACCACTGATCTATACGAAACAGAACAAAACACGGCATGGTTCGGTACCATCCTCACCACTGTTGTTGTGTGTGAGCCCACTGTGGCTAGGTGTACCTGAAGGTACACTACTACTAGTAGTATCCCATCTTCTAGAAAAAGGAACTGGAGCCAAGTGAAGTAATTTGCCCAAGGTCCCACAGCTACTGAGCAGTAGTCGGGATCTGACACAAGCCGTGCCAACTCGCGAGCGAGTTTACTCTTGCCCAGGACAGGGCTGGGGTGGAGACAGTACCGGTGGGGCAGAAGGGAAGCCCAAAGAAAGAAGCCTCCTACCTGCCCGTACTCCCGTTCAATGGCTGCCCTCTGCTTGCTGTAGGACCTGTGGAGATTAGAGGAGGGCTGTGGAGGGGTACTGTTTGGTGCTGTGCTCACCCCCTTCCTCGGTCTGGTCAGGCGAAAGAGGGAAACCAGGTCTAGAGACTTGGGGATGGCACGGAACTGAAGAAAGAGTCCTTGAGATCACCTCACCCGCAGCCCAACAACCGCACCTCAGAGCTCAGCGCCCCAGCAAGATCCTCCCTCCCCGGCGCGAGGCAGTGGGCTAGAGGGGAGGGTTCCGATGGGATCCTGCCAGCCTACCAACAGGTCTGGAAGAGGGGGATTTTGCCTAACTGGTGTGGGATCAGGGGGTTGAGGAAGAGTTCGTGTGTGTGTGTGTGTGTGTGTGTGTGTGTGAGGGTGGGAGAGAGAGAGAGAGAGAGAGAGAAACGGGAGAATTTTGTCCAAGCCGAAGCTAGCCTAGGAAGAGAGCAGCGAATGAGCAATTTGGAGGGCTCCGCATCCCTTTCGCGGCAGATGAATGCTGGCGGGGGGTGGGGTGCGCGCCGGCAGCGGGGGTATGCGTGTGAGCAGCAGTCGGGGATACCTGATGTCCTCCAGTAGATCCGCCTCCCTCTGCTGCCGAGTCTGAAGGATGTTTAGCTGCTCCAGGAAGCGAAGCTTCACCTCCTGGGCCGGCTTCACCTGAAGAGGACAAGAGAGGATGGAGACCCCGGCTCAGCCCGGGGACCGAAAGAGCCCTGGGCGCAGGGAGAGGTGAGGGGACGGGGACAGGGAGGGGCAGGCTCATTTCCTTCTACGTTGAGCTCTGACCCCTTCCCGCTCCCCGTCCCCCACCCCGGGTACAGCACCTTGGTCCCTTCCACTTCCCCAACATGCCAGGAATCCCCATTCCCAGGCCAAGCTCACTTTTCGGGGTGGCGGCTGCATCTCGACTCCGGCCCAGACAGCGACTC